CCCATCAAATAGGAAGAAAAGAGGCACAAAGGAAAAGGGCAGTAAACCAAAAAGACACAAATCATTCACTCAAGAACAAATCAATGAAATTATAGGTACACAGAGTACATCAAACAATTCCACACAAAAAATTCAACAAAAAAACACCACCGACAACATTAAAAACAAACAAAAAATTACTACAAATAAAACATTCTACAATTATACACCAAAAACAATGACAGCTAAAAAATATAAACACTTCTTCCAAATCACGGCTGAAAGCAATTTCACAAGAGAGGCATTTATAAAAATATGGGAGCGTGTACACCCTAGAGAAAATGACATAATAATTAATACACGTTCTGGATTTCTTCTAAAAACAAATAATGAACTCGCTGAAACAACTCTCGAATCACTTATCAACTCAGGAAACATTGAAAAGTTTGAACTATCCCTACCAAAAACGAATGCTACCAACTCTACCCCTTCAGAAAGCTACTCTGTCGTTATTGCTATGGTTGACCTGGAATACGACGAGAAAAACATATCAGAAACACTGGATAAGAACGACCTTTACCACAGATACTGCAAAAGAATTATTTCTAGGACTGGTAAACCTACTAAATTTATCCGGGTAATAACTGGTTCCCAAGTCACCTCCGAAAAACTCCTATCCCAAGGATTCTACTATAAATATAACCACTATCCTGTATACCCTAGCAAACCCCCTATTCCTTTACCTCAACCTTGCAAAAAGTGTCTTTCCTTTGAACACACATCCGAAAACTGCAAAACGACTAGAAAATGCTTCAAATGCTCCGGTACACATGATGAAAGCAAATGTACGTCGCCTCTTCCTCCTAAATGCTCTGGATGCGGATCTGAAGAACATCAGGCCTGGTCACTTCAATGTCCTAAAAGACCCACAAAACCCATTGAAGGTATTCCCAACATAACTATTAAATCCACCAACAAAAAATCAAAAGAAGTCTCAAGAGAAAACCAAAAGTCTCGCATTCATTCACCCCTGACAATTCACGACATGATTATTTCCACCTACATCAACAAACTGAACGATAACAAAAATACAAACAGAGAAGAATTAATACTAAAACTTAGAAAAACATTTGTTCAAAACTTTAATATAGACACAGTGGCTATTTTTTCGGGATCCAGATTGTACATCCTAATGTTTGACCTGGAGGCCGATGAAGGCTCTCCTACAGAACCATCCAACCCAAATAGTAACAGCCAATATGTCCTTGACAACTAAAATAATCTATGCCAACATCAACAGCTACACCAGAAGAAAGTTTTTAATAAATAACTACATAGAAAAAAACGATATACATGCCGCAATGTTTGTAGAAACAAAAACACTGGAAACCTCCAACACTTCATACAGAAACTGGAACATTTTGCAACACAATGGATACTCACCAAATAATCATGCCAGAGGTGGAAGTTTGATACAGTCCCATCCCAAACTTAAAATAGGTAAGGCCAACAAACCCAGAATAAACAATGCCATGAACGAATGCCTACACTTGACGGTGCCATTCAAAGAAGATAAATTACACATTTTTCTAATATACAGTCATCCTAATCTCCGTATAGAAGAAAATATTTTTGTAATGGCAAGCTTATACAAATATGCCCTAATAATAGGTGATTTTAACATAAACAATAGAACAAAAAAACTGCAACTAAACAACTTCCTCTCCAATTCAAATTTTATAAAGCACGAAACTCCGCCCACATTCATTATGCCTCTAAACAACGACACCACGCCAGACCTGCTCCTCTATACCGAAAACATTAAGAATAATATAGAAAATGTTAACCTATTTCCAGATCTAGGCTCAGACCATCTTGCTATGGAAATTAAAATCAACTTTGATAAACCCCTTAGCTTTGTGCAACCCAAAAAATATAATTTTAACAAAACAAATATGGAAAAGGTAAATAGTGAGATAAAAAACTTTATTGGCCTTGAAGAGAATAAAAAAATAACACCCAACACAATATCAAATTTTAACAAAAATCTTTCAGACTCTATCCTGAAAAACTCACCTCAAATATCTCATAGATTTTACCAGCACCAGCTTCCGCCATTTATAATCAAACTTATTAAAAGAAAGAGAGCCATGTATAGGGAGTATAGGAACACCGGAGATGACACAATAAAAAGAGAGTTAAACCGTTTCAACCACACCATTCAAAGGCTAGTCCAGCAATTTAAAAATCACAACTTTTTAAAGACGTGTGAGGAGATTAACCTCAAGAAAGGCAAAAGCTACTGGCAAGACATTCAAAAATTGAGCAAATATAAAGGTAACAGAGCAAAAACTAGTACCCTCGAAGAAAATGGCAACCTGTTAGACTCCGACCCTGATAAAGCAGAAGCATTCGCTCGATATTTTAGCAAAATATACGAGGAATCACAGGACCCTTCTTTTGACGTAGAGACATATAACCTGGTAAACAACTGGTTTACCAATTTTACAGTAGAACCAGATCCGACGGTTCAAAGAAATTTAAATAACCTTGACGACCTATACTTTGAAGTAGTATTTACCGGTAAAAACTCAGCACCAGGGCACGACCATATTACCAAGTGCAATATTAGAAAACTGGACTCTGAGATTCACGACTATATTATTAATATATACAGATATTGTTTTATTAACAACTACATCCCAAAGGAGTGGAAAAAGGGCACGATTATAACAATACCTAAAGCAAATTCTAATCAGGCGCTCATAAAAAATCATCGACCCATCACTCTATTGCCGGTAATAGGAAAAAATTTTGAGAAAATCTTAAAGCATATGTTACAAAAAGAAGTTGGCGAAAAAATACCCAATTATCAATTCGGCTTTAAAGAGGGCTGTTCAACCATTCATCCTCTGACCATTCTAAAGAACAACATCGAAACAGCAAAACTAAATGGACAAACATCGGCAGCACTGTTCCTTGATATAAGCAAGGCCTTTGACTCAGTTTGGATAAAAGGTCTTCTGTTTAAACTTTTCCACATGGACTGCCCAAACTATCTAGTTTCACTTTTATACAAACTTCTAAACACTAGAACCCTAGCAGTCAAAGTCGGGAATTCCCTCTCAAGCAGTTTCGTTACCAAGCAAGGCCTTCCACAAGGCTCACCCCTTTCCCCTCTTCTCTATAACTTATTCTGTCACGACATATATAGCCATCAATTCGCAAACGAAAACCACTTTAGCTTCGCATCTTATGCATTACAATTTGCCGACGACACAGTCCTCATCTCTCACAAAAAATCCCTTCCCCAAGTAATGACAAGCCTCCAAAACCTGGTTAACTCTACATCCGAATGGTTCTCTAAATGGAGATTGTCACCAAATCCCAATAAATCACACTTCTTAATCTTCCACCACCGTATTACCGATCAGTCTCCTTCAATTTCCTTACAAGGCTATACTATTCACCCAGAAAGCTCCACCAACTACCTTGGTATACTTCTAGATCACAAAATAAACCTTAAACTCCACACACAAATAATAAAAAAGAGGACAATAGCAAGGGCAAAACACTTCTCAGGACTAAGGGTCAACAACCATGGACTAACTACCAACAATCTAATCAAAATATACCAACTTATCTGCAGACCGGTCATTGAGTATGGGTTTCCATTATTCCTCAATTGCAAAACTCCCACTTTAAAAAACTTACAAGTTGCAGAAACATCCTCCCTAAGAAAAATTACCAAAATCCGCCATCCAAACAATCCTCTCCATAACCCTCCCAATCCTTTCCTTTATGAAAAAACAGGAATAACACCAATAATGGACAGAATTCAAAACCTTGCTGACAGGTATAGAGAGAGAGACAAGACCTCCGAAATTCTTTGGGAATTCTGTATAACAAGAGCAGAAAATGCAAGAAACGGATATCCGCAAAAAACAACCTTAGAATTAATATTTAATGATGACTAGTAATATAATTATTATTGTATACATATTTTTTGGATTTTTTTTTTGTAAGATATATCTATTTTTAAAATACCATTGTTATATTATAAACCTGTAATATTCTGGCTGAAGGACGTAAGTCAATGGCCCTTTGAAACTTCACCAATAAGCCTAAGGATAAACAATACGCCAATAAGTGAAGTAAAACATGCTAATTACCTCGGACTCACTATAGACAATAAACTAAATTTTGAACAACACATACGTGAAGTTAAAAAAACCATCAACAATATGTGCTACTTTTTACGCAGAAATGTATTCCTAATGAATCAAAAAACCAAATTCCAGATCTACTATGCATATATTCATTCACACTTAACTTACCTCCCATGCATTTGGGGACAGGCCAGAAAATGTGATATTAAGGATTTACAAATTTGTCAAAACAAATCATTAAAAATAATATTTAATAAACCACCTATGGCAAACACAATAGAAATGTACAAAGAACTTAGAATACTTCAGATTCAGGAAATCATTAATCTAGACTCCATGATCTTAGTGTACAAAATAAAAAACAATATTTTAATTACCAAAATTAAGCTGCAATTAAACTGTGATTTACACGAACACAATACGAGGACCAGACAACATTTCCATGTGGTACCAAATTCTTCAAATGTGGGAAACAAGAAGATCTCCTCTCAGGCTGTGATATTGTTTAACCAACTACCAGAAAATATTAAAATGCTTACATCCTTAAACTTATTTATTCTTAATTTAAAAAATTATTTGTTCTCACTGAGAACTTGACATGTATTAATATATATTCTTTAACTTATACCTGTTGTAGATGCTTGTAATCTTTTAGGGTTTAATAAATACATTAAAAAAAAAAAAAAAAAAATAAAGAACATTAATAATAATAATAATAGAAAAAAGCATGTATTGCGTTTTACTGAATTAATTCTCGACCTCTTTGATTTATTTCAATTGACTAATTAATATAAGCAAAATTGAGTAAAAAAACAATTTAAAAAATGGTAATTATTTATTAAAAATATCGTTTAAAAACATAATCAATGGTGTCGTTTTGAATGTTTGTTCAAGTCATTTGCATATGTAGTTTTATAATTACAATGTTTGCAACAGTGCATTTTGGAGGTGATTAAATTTTGATTTGATTCGTTCAATAATTCTGAATGATTAGTTAAAATATGGTTGTCTAAATTTATTTTCACATTGCATTGATGAAGACAAAATAAACATTTTAACTCTTTTATTTTATTATGAGTTTTTCTATGCTTAATTAAATTAGATTTTTTTATAGTTTTGTAGTGACAAATCTCACATTTATACCATTTGACTGTATCTTCTTTAATCGACAATATTACATTTTCCAATTTCAGACATACCTTAATGTGATTATCATAATTTGCTTTTCTAACACTTGAATACAAACATTTGGGGCACTGGTGTATTTTACTTGTTATTTTTATTTCATTCTCTCCCTTGTTTTCCAATCTATGCTTACTTAACATGTGAGCATTTAAAGCCTGCAATTGGGCTGCCATATACTCACAAAAATGGCATTTTAAATATTTGTTCTTGTCATGAATTCTCAAATGCGCTTTAAAGTTTTCTTTTCTTAAAGTTGCATAACCACATTTGCTACATTTCAATTTTTTTAGTCCATCTTTTCTATGAAGATTTTTATGGTTGAACAAACCCTTTTTTGTTACAAATTTCTTAGGACACAAGCCACATTCAAATAACTTTTCCTTGCCACTCTCATCATCATATTTTACTGGATGATATTCCACCTCGATTTTCTTCTCAATCATCATCTCTTCAACCTCATCTATTTCTTCATTGAGTGAAGAATTTGTATCTTCTACTACTTCTTCTTTCTTAATATTGCAAAGTAAATCTCCATGATTACAATTGTCCCTATTGTTGTTTTTATTAAACCTAAAATTATCACAAATAATAAATGTTTACTTCAAAAAGCTGTATACAGCTTACATGTAAAGGACAAAAAACATTAATGTTTTAATCAAAACCTATTTTTACTTACTTTTATTTTTCTAATACATTCAACATTCTACACTATTTCTAAAATAATAACTGAGTATACTGTTTTGGAATAGGAACAAGCAGGCTGTTGGAATTCAAGGTTAAACTGTCACTTGTTGCATGTTTCAACATGTCAACTGTAAATTAATGCTTACCCTCCATAGAGCACAGCTTCATCATATTCCAATTCTTCTTTAATTTCTTGTTTAATTGCTGTCACAGAGGTCGAAGGCATTTCTTGATCAGCAGAGGTACTTGGCAGGCTGTTTAGGAATATAAGGTTACTATCACTTGCATTTTTAAACATGTCAGCTGTCAAACTGTTGTACCCTTTGTCAAGCAACACATCATCCAGTTCTTCTTTGATTTCTTGTTTTATATACATTTGTTCTATTTTTATTGCTTGCTCAGAAGACATTTCTTGCTCAGCGTAATTCATCGAATTATCACCTTTGGAATTGTCGACTAGTTCTGCAGGTTCTTTTTTAACCATTATTTGCTCCATTGTGCAATTGGTTCCTTAAGGAACCTTTACTACTTACTGCGTATTTTAAATTTTAATGATAAAATAGTTGTATTAACTTTAAATACTTTGGCAAGCTGTAAAAAACAATAGAAAACCTTCATAAACCCTCAAACAACGAATTAAACCTTGACAATGTTTTACACCGAAAAACAAGAAACTCGGCGCTTGTAGTGTTGCCAACTTATTTTACCAACTTACCCACCCTGAATTTACTCTCAAATTCATTCATAATGGACGTAACCATAAGATGCCCGTAAACGTAAACGTAAACATAATATCACCATAATTTGTACGTAACGATGAGTTGTGTTTATAATGAACGTATGGCTTATGTATATATTAATAAGGCGCGCATGTCCAAGTTCACTAAAATGGCAGCATTGACAGATTTCGTCTAATTATTATGTCTTAAAACTTAAAAGTTTTAAGGCATAATAATTATAATTATAATTATTATAAATATAAATTAAGTTAAAACTATCAGTGTTATTATAATTATTAGTGTAATGAGCGATATATACGTTGGCAAAGAGAAGAAAAAAAGGGCGAATTTCGTCGAATAATACTCGAACTAAAACTTTAGGATAAGGAACGGTTCTTTAGATTGTTTGTTCTGTGGATACACCAGAATCAGGGTTGGGTCAGTAGAAAACCTTAGGTAATTTACCTTGGTAGAAAAGGGTAGAAAACTTGTTTTCGACTTGCGTCGAAAACCTATAGGGTTTTCTACCTACGTAAATTACCTTATTCGACCTTCTCCTTCCACTTCTCTATAATTGATAAAAATTTGCCCTCATGCCAAAAATTATGTTGGGGTCTCCCAACCAAACGTGGCCCTTTTTTCCCCACCATAATAATGTTAAAAAACTCCAAATAACTTCAAATTTATGGTAGGTGTCTGATTTTTCACAACATTTAACAAATCATAATAAACAACAAACTTGCATAACCTCACATTTTTTGATATTTGACAGTATTCTACTTTTTTACGTTTTCTACCGTCGAAAACGTCGAAAAAGGTTTTCTACATGTCGAAAACAAAAATGTAGGTAGATACCCAACCCTGACCAGAATACACTTAAAAAAGATCTGTCATCTGTTTGCATGGCTACTACCCTGATTGCTACCAACAATGTTCTAGTGAAATCATGAAAGTTACTAAAATTCACACATAAGAAACCCGTAAAGTTGAGATGATTTCAACTTTACGTATTTTTTACGGTCACCCATAAGTGCTCATTCATAATGGACGTAACCATAAGATGCCCGTAAGAAATACGTAAAACGTAAAGTTGAACATTAACAAAACCGTTCGAACATAAGATCTTATGGGTGACCGTAAAAAATACGTAAAGTTGAAATCATCTCAACTTTACGGGTTTCTTATGTGTGAATTTTAGTTACTTTCATGATTTCACTAGAACATTGTTGGTAGCAATCAGGGTAGTAGCCATGCAAACAGATGACAGATCTTTTTCAAGTGTATTCTGGTGTATCCACAGAACAAACAATCTAAAGAACCATTCATTATCCTAAAGTTTTAGTTTGAGTATTATTCGACGAAATTCGCCCTTTTTTTCTTCTCTTTGCCAACGTATATATCGCTCATTACACTAATAATTATAATAACACTGATAGTTTTAACTTAATTTATATTTATAATAATTATAATTATAATTATTATGCCTTAAAACTTTTAAGTTTTAAGACATAATAATTAGACGAAATCTGTCAATGCTGCCATTTTAGTGAACTTGGACATGCGCGCCTTATTAATATATACATAAGCCATACGTTCATTATAAACACAACTCATCGTTACGTACAAATTATGGTGATATTATGTTTACGTTTACGTTTACGTTTACGGGCATCTTATGGTTACGTCCATTATGAATGAGCACTAAGATCTTATGTTCGAACGTAAAACGTAAAAGTTACGGCTATTCATTATAAACAGGCCCACTGGTTTTGTTAATATTCAACTTTACGTTTTACGTATTTCTTACGGGCATCTTATGGTTACGTCCATTATGAATGAGCAGATCTTATGTTCGAACGTAAAACGTAAAAATTACGGCTATTCATTATAAACAGGCACACTGGTTTTGTTAATGTTCAACTTTACGTTTTACGTATTTCTTACGGGCATCTTATGGTTACGTCCATTATGAATGAGCACTTAGTGCTCACAAAAAAATATCAATTTTTAAACCACTTCAAATAGTCCAGAAAATATTTTTTCTACGCTTATTACGGAATTTGACAGTTCTTATATGACTTTTTAATCTGGAATTACGTATATTCCATAAAGTGTTACAGAATAATTATTCCGCACATGTTCTAATGATGGAATGAGCACTGGGGGCGACATCTCTATGTTTATTTTATAACTCACTTGTATTCCTACCAAATCTAGTTTTTTCAGAAAGGCCCGGTAGAAAATATTAATCGGTAGTGTATACAATAGGATTTAAAACAGTTTGCGTTAATAAAAATACCCAAAATATATCTTCTTTACAAGCTAGTTGTAATTCTGTTTGGCCGATTTAGTAGGATCCTATTAGAATATTTAGGTTTGACTTAGTCCCAAAGAGATGGCAGCACTGGTTAATTGTTTACGTCTGTCATTAGTTAATTCAAAATTTAAAATTCAAATAATAACTTATTTGTCATTCCTTACAATTTGTCCATTTCTTTTTTATACTTCCTAATTTAGGTTCTGCAAAATTATGTAAGTAATTTTTATAAGCTTATTTAAAAATTATCTTATTTACTACCATCATAAAATCTAACATCTGTCAAAAGATAACCTAACTTTTTTCCAATTAAATAATTTCTCTGGTATTTTTTATAAGCGTAGAAAAAGTATAGTCTGAAACACGTTTGGAATTGTATTCCAAACTTGTTACAGAATATACTATTCTCATCAGCAAATCAGAAAAATAACCTCTTACTCTTACTGCTGTGCAATGTTGCCAAGAATGAAATTCCCAAATCGTCCAGTTTCCAACACAAAACTAGAACCTTCTAGTTTTGTGGTTTCCAATGGAAAATATATCCCCAGTTTTCTGGATTTTTTTAAATTGAGAATTTTTTAATTTAAATTTGATATGTTAGGCTAGGCACCACTGGAGTGCGTTCGAAATTAGAGTGTACCTTGGATATGCTGCCGTACTAAGCGCAGAAGCGGTAATTAACATAATGGCTGTCATGAGATATTGGTACTTTTATGTTAATAGCTCTGCCAACTCAGTTTGGTAACAGACACCGCTAAAAATAACTTGATATTTCAATCATTTACTGACAAAATACCGATTTAATACCGTATTAAAGTAGAGATTTTTAACCCTAGGTTCATTTACGGAAAAATGTCAATTTCCTTTAAATGTGCAGTTACCGCTTCTGCGCTTAGGACGGCAGTATGGTATAAGGATAGGTATAAGGATAGGTATATATAATCACGTGACTTTACATTATACCAGGGCGGCTATTCTTGAAAATCATACGACGGGTGTTTCTCTCGTACGATGGGTTCTATCCACAGAAATAGTATTTCTGTGCAGTGTTGCCGCGCTGAATTTCCAAAATGTACTGAGCGGAAGCAATAAAATGTACTAGATTGTACCGAATGGTTTGTTTTCGCAACACCCAAGCGAGAGGAGTTATAGACAATTTCATGCTCTGAAGGTCAAAGTTCTTCAGGTCAACCGTTTCAAAGATATCAGCGATCAAAAATAACACTAATAAAAAATTTCAAATATTTTCAAATAAAATACAAAAAAATATCATATGCCATATTTATATTATTTTTTATGTAAAATCACTTTAATTCTGTTAACCTGAGACTGTAAACTTTTTTTTTATGTATATATGACATATTATATGTATATGTATATATGTATAATATACATTGTATATATAAGTATATGTACCTTTATATAAATAAAAAAAAAGTTTACAGTCTTATAGTGATTTTACATAAAAATTAATATAAATATGGCATATGATATTTTTTTGTATTTTATTTGAAAATATTTGAAATTTTTTAATAGTGTTATTTTTGATCGCTGATATCTTTGAAACGGTTCACCTGAAGAACTTTGACCTTCGGATGTTTTTTGTAGAGCGTGAAATTGTCTATAACTCCTCTTGCTTGGGTGTTGCGAAAACAAACCTAATGATTGGCAAGTTGCCAAACAAAATTCGATTTCGTTACATTCGATGCTAGTCATTAGGTTTGTTCGGGTTGCACTGGCAACGCCGCACTTCTTATGTCAATTAAACTTGACGTAAGCAATGCGATGTTGCCACTCAAAATTTGATGCCGCATTATTCAAAGTCAAAAATTGCCGGTGTCGTTTTTTTCGGTAATTCTCCTTTATTTTTCACAATGTTAAAATGTACTAGACTAAGGGACATTTGTAAGAAAATGTACTTTTGTACTGAGTTCTTCAAAATGTACTAGATTTAGTACAAATGTACTAGAACGGCAACACTGTTTCTGTGGTTCTATCCCGTGCGATCTATCGACTCCCACGGTCGAAATCGAGTGAACCATGGAGCCATGGAGCCTATACTGGCGGATAGCCGTACCGATTCCACTTTGATTCCTCGATCCCCGCATGCGCGGTAGTGTTCTGTCACTTTTATTGTTATCGACAATCTTCACGCGGACATTTAATGTAGGGTTTATTATAATAATCTAAGTATAAAATTACTTCTTGCGAAGCTTCGAAACCAATCCAAACTCAACAACCCGACCCAACCGACCCCGCCCCATTGGCCCCCCCCCGCCCAATTTTTCAACGAAGGAATATTCATATAATTACATATTATATTATATAACTGTAGCAAAATGAATATTAATGTAAAATTAAATAATAATCCTTTTCGCTATATAAATAAAAATAAAAAAAAAAGTTGTAGGCGCCAAGAATCGAACCTGGTATCTCTCGCATACAAAGCGGGCGCTCTTCCATCGGAGCTACCGAGCTTATTGAATAATTCCTTTTGTTTTGAAAATAATACCAGTTTACAGTGTGTGACGTGTGAAGCATGCGGGGATCGAGGAATCAAAGTGGAATCGGTACGGCTAGCCGCCAGTGGAGCCTATACAAGGAGCCCGAACTTCATGTAAACAAGAATCTTCCCAAGATAA